AAAATTCTGAAAATAGGTCAAGAACCCAAATCGATGATGAAACTAGTCCTACTTCCTCTGCACTTTACACATAGACACTAAAAAGAATAAATAAGCATTAACAAATTTATCAGTTTACTTTCAGGTTTGCTTAATACATATGAAGGTTAAACTTTACTTATACATCTATAATTATTTTGTTAAATGTTTCCAAAAAAAAAAAAAAATCTAAGATCACCAATGATCATTTATTATACAGTACAATGTATTTTTTTTAAGGACCAACAGTATGCAAATCTATATCCGCAATGTCCACAATAGAAAATGACTAATATATATTCAAATTTCAAAAAGGTCACTTTTTTGCTCTAAAAGATAAGAAACAAAATACACTCTTGTGAGAAGGCATATTTTAATTATTCTTAATTTTCTTAAGGTCTAGCTAGCTAACTTTTCAACTAATACAATCGAGGATGCAAAAAGACCCCTTTTTCTATTTTGATTTGTCAAAAAGAAAAAGATTTTCAGGAAATTAATGTGATAATTACCTAACTGCATGAAATATAAAGATAACGAACAGAAATCAAGTCAAAACTTCCATAGAAACAATACAAATTCGGAGCAGAGCAAACACGGACCTTTATTCAAATTTCAAAAAGGTCACTTTTTTGCTCTAAACGCTTGGAAACAGAATACATTCTTGTGAAAAGGCACCTTTAATAATTCTTTGTAATATATTATTACCAATCAATGTTACGATTAACCCATTAGACCTATTGGCCGTAACGCTCACCGTTCTGAAGTTTATCATACTAACAAATGCAAAATAACATGTAGATAAATGAAATTCCAAACTTTAAACCAATAGTGGCAACCATTTGAAGTATCGATAATTGAGTTTACAAACAAAGGCTACTTGTTCTTGAAGAGAGCTATGAATGCCAACAACACTCTGACATTGTCTCATTCTGAATCCATAGGATATGGCTTGAAAATTAAGTCAAACTTCATACTCTTTAGCCGTATATTTTTAAGACTCCTTCCTACACATTTCTATATAACAATTTTAAAATCTATATAATAGTAGGACTTCGAGATCCTCGACCAAGACGCTTGAAACTGCTAAAATTATGACAATTTGACTTAATCTATTAATATGTTTTGTCCTTTTGTTTTGTTTTTTTTTAATACGTGAAACCATTTGTAAAACTTTATCCCATTTTTGTTATCTATTTTAACAGAGACCCAATTTTGAATTTAAACCTTCTTAGGGATGTTATAACCAAATTGTGATTTATTTTGGCCATTCTGTTCGTCCAATTTCAGATACTAAAAATATGTTCTTATGTACATTGTATTCCCTGAATAATTCCTTATTTGTGATCTTACTTTAGAACCATTGATTATGATTTTTACGGAACGTGATGGGGATGCTAACATATCATTTTGCTAATTGTGACCCTCTTGCTCCCGAAAGAAGAATTCAAAAGTATTTTTCATTTTATTTCCCTGTTGTGACTACACGTTAGAAGAAATAGAGGTTTTACTCTACAGTACTTGAAGATGCCTGCGTATTAATTTCTTTAACATTTTCTGAAAGAAACAAATAATTATACTACTGTAAAACTTAACCATTATGTCCTCACTTCAAATCATCGGGGGGGGGGGGGGGGAGTGATTTGGACACAATATTGGATGGTTTGGCTGATTGTGACCATAGGTATTCTCTCATGCATTCCTATTTACAGAGCAAGACTTTGACCCCTATGCTGCTCTACCCTACACTAACATCTTATATGTACTAAATATGAAAATGTTTATATGCTATTGATTATAGGATCGTGAAACGTTTTTTTGGATCTCATTGATCAACTTTCTATAAAGTAACCATCTCAAACACAATAATGCACTTATATTAAAAGGTGTAGGTATTATGCACCACCACAAGGAACAGTTTTTGTTAGAATCAAAACCAAATTGTTAGTCAGTTTCCTACTTGTCCATTACCGAAAAACAACGTTTCCGAACAGATTTTTTTCTGTTTCCTGAAAAATGCTTTCCAGAATATTTTCTTTTAAAGTAAAGTTTAGGATACATATACACAAAATTCGTAATGTTACATACTATGTGTCAAATTAAATTATTTCCTGGTCTTTGACAAACAGTGTTTCAACATTTTCTACTTAACTCTAGAACACGTTCCTGGGAGAGCAATGTCTCTAATTTCTAGATAATTTGTTTTAAGATTTTTACAAACCCCTGTGAGATAGAATGACAATGTAATCTTAAGTACCAAAAAATTGTCTATAAACTTTCAAAAACTAGAAACGTGACCACATATTAAAAACCGAACAACCAAATGACATTGATCCATTTGGGGTTATTAGCTTACACAGGGAGCACATCGAAAGCCCGGACTAATCTCACCAAAATACCATCATGATCCATGTCACCGTTCATGGCAGATCAATTTACATCGTCCTTGTTCTAAAAGAAGGTAAAAATCATTAGATATCGGCACAGACAACCTTAGTTTTTAATTTGGCACGGTCTAGGCGGGGGACTATGTATACACGGGACGCATTGAGTGATGGCGGAAGGCATCAGATGACATCCGCTTGACATCGGTGCACAAGTGTCCGTTATAACCAATCTGACCACCAGTGTTACTAGCTTATATTATCTGTCAGATTAAGACTTGTCAGCCTGGTTTATTTAGCTTTACTTTCATTTTGACGGCGATCACAATTACTGTCACCTGTCACAAGGCCAATCAGATCTCGTTTCTTCCGCGATTTTACACCGAATTTTCTTTGAATATATACAGAGACACACAAATACACAACACACTCCATGTAAATTGATTTAAGGAAAGAAACAAAGCTACTGTTTTCAAGAAATTTAAAAATAACAAAGAAGCATATCGTATTAATTTAAAGTTGATGAATTTCTGGATAATTTGTTTTAATTTTGAGTTTAAATGAATCTTAAAGTACAAATTAATTGTAATTTAAATCAAAGTAACTTGGTCCTTCATTTGCTGGCGACAGTGTGTCCTGAATCTTGTACCTCTTGTGGAAGTGACCTAAACTGGTGGATACATTGATGTTTTGTCATCTATTGAAGACCTAACACTGATACATATTGTGTTTTCACGAAATGTACTTTTATCTATCTACGACTTGATATTATTTACGATATTTTCAATATTAAGCCAAGATTTGATAATTATCTTAACAGTATCAAATTGGACACCTTCGAAGGGGTAAAATAGATGGAGATTGTTCTCAATTGCAGGTGCTTTGATTGTTTGAGAAGATAAATGATCAACAGAAAAACAAGCAGGGATCTAGCAGAGCTTCATATTTCTACAATTAAAACGTTCATCTGTCGAAAGTATATGAAAGATCTACAGGCGAGAAATCGTACCAAATACAATGAAATTCTTTGTAAACTTCCACTAAATAAGGAATAGGGGAACAAGACCTTGTCATCACCGATTACAACAGCATATTGAATACACAGCTCCCCGATCAAGAGTCGCCTTTTTTTTTTAAACTAGCGAACCCTAGAGTTGAATTCTCAGTCATAGTGTATATTTTACTGTTTTAAAAGCAACTTTATTAACACTTTGGTGAAAAAACAATTACAAATTTAAAAATAAATTGCATATATGTCTACTTTTAAAAATATCTACTACTAATTCTAAATTAGTTACAAATTAAAATATATAACTGAAAAGTACTTTTTTAGACCTAGTATATTTTAAACAAAAAATTGATGATAAAACACACATATGTTTTTATGCTATGTTATACAATACTGAATACTATATTGTAATTGCTACTTTATTGACAAATAAAAGGAGTGTACGTAATCTTCCTTATAAATTATCATCTTTAAGCAAAATCAGATTGAAAGGATATCCGTTTTAAGGACTCAGTGAATTTAATCAATACAATGTAGGTCTCTAAAATAAATCCAAGTGTAGAGAACACCCGATTCCAGGCCCTTCAGATGACAGTTATGAAACTTCAGGGCGTCTAAAGTACCGTGTCCTCAGAATTTTAATTCATAATAATCTTTCTATTACGCAGGTGAAGGGAGAAACAGTATATATTTTTAAAAATCTGACATGCAAAGTAGACGTGTCACAGTGGAGTGAAAAACAAACTGACATAAACTGATCAGGGCTGACAGCTAGTCTGTCCGACCCTCTGTTCCACGTGTTTTTTCCTAATGACAAGACGGGTAACACTATTATTTATCCATTTTTTATTTATCCGTGATATTATTACACTGATAATACCGGTATTCCAAAAACTTCATTTTTAAATATCAGTACCGATATTATTCAGTCAATAGACATAAAACTTCCCTAAAATGATTTGCAAGGTAGTTATAAATTAATAAGATGTTCGCGCCTCTGTGAATGAGGTTTGTTGATACCAACTTGGGTGGTCCGGTGTATTATATGAAAAGGTAGCTAATAGCTGCTAGTACAAGTAGTGACCGCCTCAGTGAAACGGGCTAATTTTGTTATCTGGCAATTTTGTGATTTTCCTCTAATGAAAAGAATGGCAGATATATTAATAGAGACGGTAAAGAAATGAAAGAAATTTGAAGAAAGTTTTGTGTTTCACGCATTAAAAGGAAGAAGACGCGATGAAAGTGGAGATATAATAGAACAAAACGATGCATATTAACTGCTGTGTTCTGACTTAACGGTCAATTAATCGCCTGAATGGTAGCAAACAGTTTTTTTCTTTTTTCTTTGCTTTAATCTCTCAAATCGGACCATTCGGGAAAAGAAAGAAGAAACTTTAAGTTGAAATATCAAAATACTGTCCAACGAGAGGGCGGGATAGAGAAAGAATTGGAGTACGCAAAGCTAGGCTTGGTGTGAGAGTATGACGTTGGTTATAACAAACCACGTGTGGGGTCCCAACACAGCTTTTATACACATTGGTAAATATTTGTTCGAAGAAAAACTATGAAGATTTTCAGTATTCGTTGACATTCAGAGTTATCAGCATCGGAGGAAAATATTACTTTTATGAATATAAATATTTTCATAAATATTTTACAAAAATAATTTATGGTTTACTCTAGATAAGTTCTTCATGAGAGAGAGAGGAAGATTTTCCCTAAAGATTTGCTTCTCTAAATGATATTTCTAGAATTGTCAAACGAAATGTCGCACATGTTCCAACGGATATCATAGGGACTTTGAAGATTAAAGATGAAACAACTTTGGAATACGTTGGTAGTCGATATTTACATTAGTTGACGATCCTGCAGATTTATGCAATTCAATATTTATTAACAAATGAAATTCAAAATGTGGATGTATACCTGTGATATGAAAAAACTTGCCCTGTGTGTTTTACTATTGCTTAATGCTTTTGTACTTGCAAGGAGAAAAAGACATGATTCTGAATTTTGGTACAATGACTGCGGTAAGTACTCTTGATTTAAAAATGAATTTTAGTTTCTCATTATAATTGATTAAAAATTTCTTTGTACACATAATTTCTAATTAGTTTTCAAACATGATTTTTACAATTCTGTCCATTATTTTCTTTTTAATCAAGTTATGCAAAATTATATTGCATTCTTTTTTTATCTTTAGATTGAAAATTCATGTAAGATTGTTGAAGAATAACACAGTTAATATTTAGAATTTTCAGTTATTTTCTTCATGTTTACTTAACGAAAAAAGTTTTAACATAGAATAATGAAATGTGGTATAATAGGAAGTGTGAGGCGAGGATAAAAAAACCAAATTACCGTTTCTTCGCACAATATACATCAAAGACGGAATGGTGAAAGTAATTCCAGCTAAGGTTAAATGTCAGGCAAAAAAATCCCTAATTGCCCAGATAACACCTGTGTGTTGATTAAATTAGAAAACTCAGTCAATAGCGTATAATATTAACCTGCCGTATTTTTTAATTGAAATTGAGATTTTTATTTTGACTTAAATTACATCGGACTCGTCACAGCCCAGCAAGAGGGAAAAATTTAGTTAATTAATTTGAATTGTCATTGACAGGTGTTATTGATCTCGGTAATGGTGGTATATTTAAAATTAAGGTTGCATAATACAAGATTGACTCTTAATCAGGGTGGTCTTGTCTTTAAGATATATGACACAAATTATTTCGTTTCTAACAAATTTGTGTGTTGAATAAAAATACTTCTTATGTATAATATCCCTGTCAAAAAAAGAGATAGATATCACACACCCCAAATAACATTTTTGGATATCATCAAATTCTAAGTATATATTCTTCAGAGTATCGAAACTACCAGGAGTTTTTAAGACAGTTTGAATCGTAATTCTGGACAAAACATTCGTGACAAGGGTAAATGATGTGGGCATTGAGTGTAAGTGGTCTAATTTCTTCAATATCCATACTGAACAGAAAATAATATTTATCTAATAACTGCATTGACAACGAAAGTTGGGATATACCGATAAATCATAGTTCAAATCGAGTCTCCAGAATGCCTGCGTTAAAAATTTAGGCCTAGATGTAAAGTACACGGAATCTCTTAACTTTTTGTATAATTCCGTACTCTATGAAATTAAGTTGAGGATACGTGATCAATCCGTAGGTTGCTTTTAATGCTCCTGTTGCATTCTTTACAGATAGTTTACACTAGTCTTCGGCCATGTGTGTGTTGTAAACACAAATTATCTTATTTGTAATTCTACGATAACTGTCAGTCGATATATCTTTCATTGCAAGCAGGTAGTTGCGATGCCAAGGTGTGAATATATACAAGACAGAGCTTGGGAGTTCTTCTATTGGGCTCGAGAAAATACACTGTTTCTCAATTTTCAATAGGCATGTTTATTTCTAATGGTGTATCTGGCACCTTACAAGTCCTTTGCCACCTTAACCATTCATGTGCTCAGGGCATAAGCAAAATCAACATCGGGAATTATTCTAATACTCAGTCGCTGAAAATCAAACGAATCACCTCACTCTTATGATCTTTCCTTGGAAAAGACCCCTAAATATTTTAGGTGTTTTCCAAATACCAAGGCATTATCATCATTTAACCCCAGCGCTGACCTCCCACGCGGAAGCATGATAAACCTGCAAACAGGTCTCAATCTTTCTGGTGTATGCTCATCATTTATAATAATTTTATATACCAGAATTGGCACGACATGGGCTATTTCTTACTGGGCTGATAAACCGAGTGCTTGAAATGACGCACCTCGAACGTAAAATTTACTGCAGGTGCCTATTTGTTTATTAAGTAATAATATTTAAACGAATTTACTTTTCGAATGAAATGGGAAAGTTTAATTCAGTAAGTAATTTTTGGTTCTAAAACGGAAGTTTGTTGATATATTTGTTTAGGAATGTACATTAATTTAACAGCAAATGATGGTTAGAGAGAAACTACACGTATATCAAATGGTTTTCCACGCCTTGAAATTTATCAATTGGCAATAAGATCTCTTACATCATTACTTATGTAATTTTGACGAATTTTTCTTGAAAACTGAAAACATCTTGAGATGCCATACCGTTGAAACGTTTCTGGCATAGGTGAGAACTAAGTGTCGACCACAATACCCACAATGTGGCCGCTGTGGTTAGTGAAATGTGTGAAGATGTTCAACCAATTTAGCCCTCCGCGGGTTGCGGGTAGGGGAGGGGCGAACGGGTTAGTGTCGTATTATTATGTGGTTTCATCATTCACAAAACACCGTCCATCATATGACATATAATTACTGGTTTTCTTACAAAGATTAAACAGATCAGGTTTATTACACAACCGACCCTTTTGTGGCTTTGACACGGCTGTTTTCAAATGTCGTTTTCTTGAAGTGGCTGTTTGAGAAGCTGTTAGATCTCAGTGTATCACTAGTCTCTCTGTACATACTCTCATCATGTTTAATATGAACTGAGGTTCAATGAATCATTGTCCGGATGATCCGGTCATCAAATTACTTCTCTTAGTGGAAAACGAAAAGTAAAAGAGGGTCGTTTATGTTATTATTTCACCCAAATAAAAAATAAAAGATTAGTACACAACGTATGTGCGTTAACTCACATGTTTTGTTTTCTTTCGTAATAGTTTTCAATTAATCAATCTTAACAAGGCTATAATATATTGTTCAAAGTGCAATAACGGAGCAAAATGATTAAAGAAAAAAAACCTGCCAATGTCTTATTTGTTCTTCTTGAAGTGGTGTTAATTTCAATTTGAATACTACAGTATTTTTTGGTCAGTTTTTTCTTTTTTTATATTAATCATATTTTTTTTTTCACTTCCAGGGTCTGAAAACCGATCAGTGATATTTAACGACTTGCTGTTATTTCCAACACCGATAATCACTCCAGGGACGTTATATATCAGTATGAACGGCAACATAACTCGCCAACTACCCAGGAAGTTATCCATTCAGTTAACAGTACATAAATACTGGATTGGAATTCCATTTATGCTCCCGTGTTTTAATAATCAAATTGGTTCGTGGTAAGTGAGTAAATTGTCAAATCAAAATTCCTTGCGAGTTTCATGTCCTGTTCACAATGAAAATCGAAAACAGTTTCAGATATGGAAATTGATTCCAACATTTTTAGCTCACCTGAGCCTAGGAGTGTGCATTTCTTCTGATCAAATTTTACCCAGCATCTTTCTGTCTATCAATTTATATACATGTCGTTTTTCAAACCATCCATATCTTTTCAAGCAAACTTAGGACAAAACGTGGGGACCCAGGAGATAAGAGTAGGTCCCTGGCACTCCTTGTATGTCTTAAAAGGCGACTAACTTCCGAATGAAGCAACAATTTTTACAGCGACACCCAAAGTCATACATGCATTTGAATATATTAAAACTTTAAGTGATTCTTTTTTTTTTTTTTTCTTTTTTTTTTACAATATTCTCAGACTCGCTCTCCTGCTTACAGTCCATACAAAAATATGAACATTGAACACCCATTTTGGATATATGTTAACCAAGTTCTATCATTTCACTCATCAAGGTAATATAGTTGAATTTTACTGGATTCCAAGTCATATTGGTATCCCTGGCAACACCAGGGCCGACAGTGCTGCGAAAACTTAACTACAGTATGAATTTGTTACTTCAAAAGTCCTGATTTTAAATATCTAGTAAATTTTTTGACAATTTCCTTGGGGGGGGGGGGTTATTGTGATAATGATTACGATGATAAATCATCTGACTTCGGCCTGAAGCGTCAGGACGAAGTAGTCATATCAAAAATAGTATGGGACATCCCGGATTAACTAAACAGGGAACTTCAGCCTTAATGCATACATGTATCTTGTGACTATTGATTAATTACACACCATATTCTTTTAGAATGTACTGATTTTTCGCTTATAGGAAGTACATATTTTAATAATGCGCAAACAATGCAGCATGCTCTCTTAAGAAACATAGTTCTTTAATTTATTATTCTTTTTTTTCTATAAACAATTTTAAACTTTTTTAAAACACGAAATTGACTTTTACATCAAGATTTAGATGTACACTATATATATTTTAAGTAGCCTTGTGCAGAAATACATACAGACATTTGCAATTGTAACTGTTTTTATATTTTTAAAGTTTGAGTCTGTCGAATAGGATGTTGAACGATGCCTACTACAAACCCCCTTGGCATGCAAAAAAAGTTCCTCTGGATTTCGAACAAAAGTAGGCTCACTGGAGACCGTAAAAAGGCTTTCAAAACCTGCCACGGAACGTTAATTTATACCGCCGAAATATGGCTGAAATGCTGCCGACTCGGCGTAAAAAGACAATCAATTAATAGGACAAAACATTCTTAACTAAAAGAGAATATAGATTGTTAAGTCGATTGCAACTCCAGATCAAATAGAAAAAAAATTGAAGTAGAAAAAAGTGTCTGCTTCTAATCTGAAATAATAAGGATCATTTGATAAATCCCTTATGTGTTTAAATTCTGCTTGTTAAAGCCCTAGGATCAGGTCACTCAGGACGAATTCACACTACAGTTCCATTAAACGTTCGCACGGAGTCAAATATTGTACCTGATGCATAAATTCTTTATTTTATAAGCTCTCAATCTTCTTTTTAGAATAAAGTATACATATAAGTAAAATTTAAAATTGTTAGAAAAACAATTATTACTACTTTGAATTTTAACCTAAAAATGCGATTTGGGAGAAAATTAATGCTACTATATAAAGTGTAAATGTCAATATATACCGGTGAAGGGCTTTAAATTTAGACCTTTACTCTTTTTGGTGCCAACGCCTGTCGTGACACGGGGCCCCGGTTTTTAAGGTCACATCCAAAAGACCCGCAACTATCAATCCAAAGTGCCGAGAGCTTGGCAAAGGAGCAATTGCTACAGTGTACCTACTTTTTATCGACTTAGGTCAGTTGCGGCCGGGGTTGAACCCACGACCTTCCGATCAAGGAGCGAGGCTCTTCCAACTGAGCAACCCTGACGGCACCAGCGAAATTAGACATATTGAGTTTAGCATGGATGTATGTTTGTTTGTCTTTCATAAAATCAGGTCACAATTCTCGAACCCTTCATTAGAACCTAAAACTGTTCAATTTTAGTGCGTGAGTACTCATGGGGTAGAGTTGGCCCTTAATTCTGACTTATGGCCATATGTCAAAGGTCTATGTGGACAAAAATAGAGTTTTAGCTATATTTCTCGAATTTTGGAAAGGAGTTTACTATATTTTGCCAATGGCTTTACGGTGTGTTATGATCTTAATTTAAAGTCAATTCTGTACGGTCAAGGTCGATGAGCAATTAAATTATACCCGAACCATTACTTTAGAATGAAAACTTGAGTATGCATTTGCTTAGGATACAAAGGTGTGTAGACGTACACTCTTCATGACTTCAGTGTAAAAGTGATGTACACGTCAGAATGATGGTCTTAACAATGGGTATTATTTGGTAAGGACACAAAGGAAAAAAAAACAATATAAATATTAAATGTAATGTTCACTGTTTCTTGATAAATTACGTTAATAGAAACAGAGATATTTCAGAATAAAGCAAGTATTAGTACTTTGAAATAAATTTCTTTAAGGGAAAAAAGTAAAATGAAAGTACAACTTTTGTTTAATCAACCATTTAAGACTTAACACTTATATAGAAAAACAATTTATATCTCCCCCCAATTTCCTTTGATTTTATTGAAAATCTGAAATTTTATTGAAAAAAAAACCCAACTAGAAATCGGAGAGGGTCCCGCTAAGGACTGTCAAAGGAAAATGACAACAGTACTTTCTACAATAATGTTCAGAAGAAAATATAGCACATGAAGTTGACAAAAAACAAGCACTCATGCGTTTTTGAAAATATATATATTTAAAGATATATTAATAGCCATACATACAGAGAGACGAAACTATATGATCACAGAATTTATATACGAGTTCAATTCCTTCATTATAAAATAAGAAATTATTGTGTCACGATGTATTTAATGTTACGTTGAAAATTACTTGAGTTATCGCGTCATAACAAAAGTGTCATGGATATACAATCAAACATACATACATATTGACAAAGTAATATGAACCCAAAACCTCCAGGTGTCTTGCTCTTGTAGTAAAGTACGTACATGTACTGTGCCTAAAATCTGAGAGAAAAAAATCGTTGAAAACTGAGTTATCGCGTCACAACAAATATGTTGACGGACAGACGGACAATGTGATTCTTATAAAGCTCCTGTATTTCACGTGGGGCTCTAACAATGAATAAAGACTATGAATACCCTTATTTCATTTAGGTACTTAATACTTGACACTGCAAAAACTGAGTAATATATGTCATTATTTAATTATTTTTTTGCATCACATACATATATCCGATATAATCAATCCTAAAACACATTTCATATAACCTCTTTTTTTTTTTTTTTTTTTTTTTCAAAATGCACCTTATAACATGCTGGTAATGAATCCATTTGCTGGGCTGAAAGTTATCTCTATAAAGAAAAAGAACAGTCTTCAAAAACAGACAAGCCCTGTGTACTGTTAGGGACTTAGCTCACCTAGATATATTGCGCAGTTGAAACATTTTCTCAAATTCACCGAAAAATATCTAAATGCATACTAACTCGCACCCTCTATACATTGCACACAGAAAAGTTCCAATTCCATGATACTTTTATCCAGTTAGAGTGATCTGCCTTTAAACTGAAACACAGTTTGTAATGACTTGAAGTATTTTGAATATTATACTAGACCGAGATATATTATACTTGACCGAGACGAAATAACTGAATACTTTATTTGTAAATGTTTTCCCATGCTACTTATCATTACTTTGTCGTCTTTGAAAATTTTTCTCGGGGAAGAGTGTCAGGCACCCTATGTTGAAAACAAAGAAGATTAACCCTATTTTCACCTTAAAATTATACAATTTTCCAAAAGTCCAAGCAAACATTTTTCATTCGTGAATATAGGATGGTCCTTAATTTTCAATGTATTTGATAGTATGATACCCAAGAAGTAAAAACTTCACATATACATGTAACTGATTAAACATAGCAACATAGGTAACAAACTAGTACTTTATAAAACTATTTATTAAGTATCGAAGCTCACTTCAATACCGATGCCCGATACTCCTCTCCAAAAGGAAGACTCAATTTTTCATAGGTTAAAAAGCAACTAATTAGTAGTACATTTTGTATTTGAGATACAGTATTTGTAAACTGTTTTACGTGTATCTTTCTCTTCATCTTTCTCTGATTTTTGGAAAAGAGAAGGCTCATTGGGGACCGCCAGAGGAACTACAAACTTTCAAAAACCGGTCATATGAATTAAATTAAATCGCCACTATATGGCTGAAATACTACCGACACGTCGCCCGCGTGGCGCAGTGGTTAGAGCGCCTGCTCTAGAATTGCGGAGTAAGGAGTTGATCCTTACGTCGCGGGTTCGAATCCCACTGTGGGACGTGGAGATCGGTCGTTCGGATGAGACCGTATAAACCGAGGTCCCTTGTCGCAGTAGGTGCTGGCACGAAAAAGATCCCTCACTGCTCAATGGTCCTAAGTGCCGAGTATAGGTCAAAATTTGCAGATCTCCACCGGCAAATGGTGGCGTCTCCATATGCGTGAAAAATTCTCGAAAGGGACGTTAAACAACACACAAACAAACAAAAATACTGCCAACACGACGTTAAACAATATTCAATCAATCTTCATGGCGACATAGCGAGGGTGTTTCTAATCTTTCGTCGCCGCCCTTGAGTTTTCGCCTTCACTTTTTCACGCAGACAGAAATTACATACTAAAATAACCCCCCCTACTTAAGTAAGGAGGGGGAAATATTTTTTATACAAGAAAAAATATGTAACATCAAAAGCTTTCGCTTCTTCAGCATTTCTCAAAACAATTGATCATTTCATTGCGGAGCTGAACCCGGAGTGCTATGCCCAAATACTGATCAAACACTAACCATATAAAAATTTGCAAAATTCCAGGTGATTCCCAGTGTACTCACGACTTGGCATCTAGAGAGAAGTCCTAATCTAGAGTTTCCTCAATACTCATGATATAGTTCAATATATAAAAATCTATACATGTATGTAAAGGATCCTTGCGTTCGAAGATTATATTTCTTTGACACGTCAAATTTAGAGGGGATTAGTGTTGTCCTATAGTTAGTATTGACAAATATAAAGCTAAAATACTTTTCTTTCTTTCAGTTTATATGAAGATATTTGTGAAAAATTAGCAGCTTATGAGCGGAGGCAAAGGTGCCCGAGGATGCTCCGTGATTATAAAATCCAATGTTACTGCCCATTCCGAGCGGGAACCTTTAGTTTTAAAAATCTCGCAGTCAATATTCCAAAAATAGGAGGATTTGCCGGGGCTTTTGTGAAAGTAAGAGTAAGCATTGGATTTTGTTTGTTTAAAATATTTTGTTTTTTTTTCAAATCACTTAATTCTTAGTTGGTGCTTTCTAAATACCTGATTTGAAAATAATAATGTGCATGTTGTTAGGGAGCATTAACACACTGCTGTAATATACACAGATCTACAGCAAAGAACTATTCATACAAATAGGGATCTGAATTCCAGAGAAAAAAAAATCATTATTAGTATCATTATTATAGAATTCAAATACTGGTAATCAGGATTAATATGTAGAGAAAGAAATACCCCTATCATCATCAAACAGGCTAATACCGGCAAGTTTCTGTGAGAAAAATAGTCAAATTTACAGAATGATGATTCTTTCAATTTTTATTAGATAAACATGTATGATACAAATGATTACGGCACATGATCACGGTGATGCATTTAAACCCATAAATAAATAAACTGGATAAATATAAATGTCACATCGTATTATTGCGTACAGGGAAAAGCGTTAAAACGTTAATAAACAACACGATGAGCAACTTATCTAATATTCGATCTGAGTGATCTTTGACCTTAACTGTCACGTTTTCTGTATTCATACTCCGGTGTCATACTCTCCCAGGTTGTGGCGCGCTCTCTTTTTTATGTAAGTACCTGCACTGTCATTTTAAACTTTTCCAGTGCAAGGTAAGGAAAGTCATATAGAATATATCCTACTACATGTGTATACAGTGAAAAGTAAGGAAAATATAATGAAAAAAAAACGGTTTTGATAAAAAATTGTAATCCATCTTTGAATAATTCAAAAGAGAATTCCAAGGTTTTCTATTTTAAGTTTATTGATATCTGAGCCATTCCTATGTCTGCCAGAAGCAAAGAAGTGATGACATAGGTGTCATATGTATTTTGACGTTTTCATATCGTTTCACTGGCAAGATTTACCAAAAAACATTGAACACGGTGTGTGGTACCAGCTATCTATATCTAGATTCAATGAAACTTCTGAAACGTTACATTTTTCCCTATCCTTGTCCAGGCATATTCCCGGGGAGATAAAAAAAAATACTCCGGTAATAGTAATATTTTGGTAGCCAAAAATCTTGTGCTTGAATTTTGGCAAATATCTGATAATCCAATTGTACCGAACGACCTAACTTAATAATGAATCTAGCAGAAAATTTGACAAGCATTTAATCGTCAATTTAAAACCATTGCCCGCTTTAACTCGTGTATCTTCATCCCCAAAATATTAATCAAGTAGCCCCTCAAAAAAGAAATGAATACTCCTTGTTCATGTAGCTGTCAGTTTGTTTTCAATAAGACGTGGAATAATTTCTTCATCCCCGTACTGGTAGGAGGAGCGATACTATTGGATGTCACAAACTCACCAGCGTTATATTGACCAATAAATGACACTCTTCTGGCACGCGTTATGTGCTGATCTTTATTAAATCCGGCGTTGATCTATTGTCGTTATACGAGGCACATTAACCTCGGCAACGATCTCTTTTTCCTATATGACAGTTGCGAGTCACAATCTTGGCACTTAATTAGACCACCCTCGCAGAAGAAACTATAAGCCAACCAAAATGATAGAAATTTAACTGCGTTTCCCTCCCATCGCCTTGGCAAAGGCCATTCAGGATAGAAACATTCAGGAGGACACCTGTGAAAAGAAAAAAGAGAAAACACACGTTATTAAAATAGTTAATTGATATTTCAGCACATGTGGTATGAATACACGGGGTGTACAAGTTCCTGTTTCGAAAGTTTTTTTCAAAAGTAGGAAAACAACTGCTATAATACTGTATGCCAGAATTGTTAATATTCAGTAGTTGGATACATTCAATTAATTTCAATAAGATACAAGTATATGATACAATATAGAAAGCAGTAAAGGTTACAGCCGAAACATTTATCAACCTGAAGAAAATAAAATAAAAATATTTTCTCGGCCATAAACTTATTCTGCATAGTCATACTCAGTGGTGTTCTGATACATAAAGAACCCACAGTAAACACATGTTTCATATAAAATGCAAGTAAATAAGCTAAAATTTATTTTTAAAATGAATATGAATTTTGTGTTATAGCATGTTTTTTTTTAATTACTAGGGTGACTATGGTGTGACTATAAAAGTTCTGGATGATTCTATGAGTGAGTTGGGATGTGTTGAAATGAAACTTTCTCTGAAGAAGCGAAATAAAGGATGGCTTTTCCGAATTTAGAACATCTTGTATTGTGATATTATTTTTGGATACGGGTGCTATCTGAATAATCGACGAGAAATCCATTTTTACCAAATACTGTTCTATGTGTCTGACAATGATAAATTTTCAGCGCTTTGTCGCAAAACCGACAAAAGGGATATATTGGGATGCTGCTATCACGCATGCGTTCAGATCCGGTCCATGCTCTAATATGTAAAGTGTGTTCATTTTCGACGGGTATAATGTGGAGTTGAAGTTCTTAGCTTTTTTGTGATTTCGTCACTATAGCTTTATGTCACAATTACACGTGCGAAACGGTAGACTGTTGTTCCGTGTTAACATGTAGACTACCTCTTTTTATTTTGTTTTCTTCAATACATTACGTACTACATGTATGTTTGTTTCGCAAAGCTTTTGTCTTGATAAATAAATGCATGTAAATCCAGTCATTTAAATGTTATTCATTAATTATTGTACATTATTGAAAAATAAAATATTGTTGTTTTTATGAAAAACATATTTGTTTTCCAGTGTTTTATTGTTGGAATATGATACCAAATATGGACCTGTCCTAAGTATTCAACTTAAAACCTATATTGTGGATACACCCTAGCCCAAAGGGGTCATGATTTAAATGATCTTCAATCCAAAGCATGATACATGTAGGCTTTAATATCAGTGTGACTCACAAATCATGCATGCATTTCTCGAAAGGATTTTTGTTTATTTTGTACATTAACTGGAGAAGAAAAATGCGACGGGCCAGACCGGGATTCGAACCCGGCCCATCTGAATCGCCAGTCATGTGCTCTATTAGGTGAGCGATCTGGCCACCGGGGATCGAACCCGTCTGACCGCCATATCCCTCCCTCCTTAAAGGTCTTCGACCCTCAAAGACACCAACCCAGGCTCTTCACTGGCAGGTATTTCACCTGTCACTTCCAGAACCAAATGTAACGGGAGAGAGAAGAAAAATACGACGGACGAGACCGGGATTCGAACCCAGGCCCCTGAATCTCCAATCAGGTGCTCTACCAGCTGAGCTATCTGGCTACCAGCGATCGAACAAGTCTGACCGCCACACATGCATTATGTAAAGTTTGATTCCCGATTTGAGTTCCCATTTAAATGATTTTACCCCAGTGTCCATTAATCTAATAGAAAACCGCATCCACAAAACATTGGAATAAGATTAAGTTTAGAACCCTTTAAAGTTTTAAAAAAAAAAAGAAATCGTACATTTCCCAAAGTGAAACTCTGATCCTCTGGACCGTTCACGGTAGCTCAGTCGGTAGAGCGCTCGCTCCGTGATCGGGAGGTCGTGAGTTCGAATCTCGGCCGCGACTGACCTAAGTCGATAAAAAATGGGTAGCAACTGTTCCTTCGCCATGCGCTCGGCACTTTGAAGTGAAAGTTGCGGGTCCTTCGGATGAGACCTTAAAAACCGAGGCCCCGTGTCACGGCAGGCGTTGGCACGATTAAGAACCCTCACTGCTCAATGGCCCTGAGTGCCGACTAAAGGTCAAAATTTGAAGCCCTTCACCGGTATATGGTGACGTCTCTATATGAGTGAAAAATTCTCGAATGGGACGTAAAACAACATACAATCAATCAATCAACTGATCCTCTGGTGCTCCCTACCCATGGGCACCATGAATTGAACAAACTTGAATATTCACCTTCTGATCTAACACTATGGCCCAACCCTACCTCTTGGACCATGATGTAGTACCTGGTGATATATATATATATATATATATATTACTAATCATGAAATGACTTTCTTTATTCTTTAGAGGAAGATTTTTAAGGTATTTTCGTATTCATTACTAAGTAAAACTCTTTTTATCCCCCTGTTTTTAACATTAACCCAGTGGGACCATGTTTGAACAATCCTGAATCTGCACTATGTGAAACTGCATACACTTTAACAGGCGCGGATCCAGGAATCTTTTCCAGAGAGGGGGGGGGTTCCCATCCCAGTCAAAAAACTCTCATATGCAAATCAAATATGTTGGTACCCAAAGTAAGGTCTTGTCTCGGGGAATATACCCGTGAAATATGAAATCCCTAGCAGCGACCATTGAATAGATATGGAAAAGGTTAACGTTTTTCAAAAGTCAAAAGTAAGTCAAACATCAAGGTAAAAATTAATGGTACCCAAGGAAAGGCCTCACAAGAAATACACATGTGAAATATGAAAGCCGTGACACCAATCGTTCAAAAGTTATGGCCAAAGTTAAAGTTCTTCGAAAGCAGGTCAAACTCCAAGGTCAAGGTCAATGGATTACAATTGTTGGTATCCAAAGGAAGGTCTTGTCACAAGGAATAGACATAATAAACATAATAAACATGAAAGCCCTAGCACCAACTGCTCAAAAGTTATGGCCAAGGTTACAGTTTTCCAACAGTAGGTCAAACTCCTAGGTCAAGGTCAAAGTTGTTAATATCCAAAGAAAGGTCTTGTCACAAGAATTACATACACATGTGAAGAATGAAAGCCCTAGCACCATCCGTTCAAAAGTTATGGCCAAGGTTAAAGTTTTTCAAAAGTAGGTCATATTCCTAGGTCAAGGTCAAAGTGTCAAAGTTGTTGGCATCCAAAGGAAGGTCTTGTAACGAGGATTACACATATGAAGTATGAAAGCCCTAGCACTAATTGTTCAAAAGTTATGGCCAAGGTTATTGCAAAACTGGGTCAAATTCTAAGGTCAAGCTCAAATATGATGGTATCCAAAGAAAGGTCTTGTCACAAGGAATACACATGTGATATATGAAAGCCCTAGCTCCAACTAATCAAAAGTTATGAGCAATGTTAAAGTTTTTGCGGACAGACAGACGGACGGACAGGGCAAAAACTATATACCCCCGAATCTTCGATACTATTCCCTTCCCAAACGTATAAAACTTAGAAAATTTCTTGTCAAGAAAAAAAAAACACACCTAAAATCCATTTCCCAAACGTGAAAAACACCTATTTTGTGGTGATGGGGGGGGGGGGGGGTCCGGACCCCCCGACACCCCGTCTAGATCCGCGCATGCTTTAATATGACTGCTGTTTTTTCGAGATTTTTACAGAATTATACTTGAATCTGCACTACAAGGGTATCTTGCATATTAATATACCTAACGACGACATTGCTGTTCTTCAGGAGATTGTTCCTATTTATTACCATGTAAAACGGATCTCCCATTATGACCCACCTTACTCCCGGGAGCCATGATTTGAATAAGCTTGAATCTACACAATTCAAACAAGTTTTATCCTTTATGACCCAGTGGTTCTTGAGAAGATTTTTTAGCCACCCTCCCTATTTTTACCGTTTCTCGACACTTTACCAACGCATAAGACGGACACTTTACCATCGCATAAGCTAATCATGGTAAAAAATTATTCGGAACATAACCTAGAAACGCAATTTATTTTGTTTGTTTGTTGTTCAACGTCCCTCTCGAGAATTTTTCACTCATATGGAGACGCCACCACTTGCTGGACGGTGGAGAGCTGCAAATTTATACCTTTACTCGGCACTTAGGGCCATTGAGCACAGTGAGGGATCTTTTCGTGCCAACACCTACTGCGACACGGGACCTCGGTTTATACGGTCTCATCTAAAGGATTAGTCTCCAGTGGATTCGAACCCGCGACGTAAGGATCAGCTCCTTACTCCGCTACTCTAGAGCAGACGCTCTAACGACTGCGCCAAGCTGGCCGCAATTTATCTTTCAAACGTTTACTGTGACTGAAATCCGTGATATAAACGGAATTTCCATAATGGACTCATGACACCTCTGGGTCAAGCAGCCTAATGTAATTTTAATGTCTTACAAAAAGCTCAATTAACATTTTTCATCAAAACTAAATGTGTTGTTCAAATGTAATCAAGTACTAGTATTTTACACTGTAAATAACATATTTCTCTTGTTTATCCATAAGAAGAAATATTTCAATTTACCAATATAAATCTCGTGTACAGTAGTATGCCCACCAGTATGCCGAAATCCTTTTGGACTATTAACTCCTTCCCACTACCAATGTCGATTTTTTTTTATCACAAAGCGGTCTTTTGATCTCTTCCATTTTGAAACAAAATTCAACACACTGACAAATACAAGGGGTTGGACAATGTCTATTTTTTACTCTTAAAGTAGCTTGTCTATTCCTTTTGGTTCAAGGAATTTGTCATCAGCTCTAATTAGACCACCTAAATTAATTGTTAATAAACACAGCCAGAAGTGTGGAATATTGTGTTGAGCACTTCTCAAGTTTTTATTGTTACGCATACATAACTATCGGAGTTTGTTTCACAGGATGCATCCTGTATATCTGACAATGAGGTTTTTTTTTACCGAGACACAATTACACTGATGTCTGGAGTATCAAATATGGTTTTCAAAAGGGGGGGGGGGGCACCGAAGAAAATGTTGAAAAGCAAAAATAAAAAAAAAAAGCCCTAAACTGGTAATTTGTCAAAACTCCAAAAGCCTATTTAGTGTGTGTGTGTGTGGGGGGGGGGGGGGGGGCACTGGGTCTTTCTCCAACTTTTCGGTACATTTGCACTAATTTGCCTATGTTTGACCATACACAAAAAAAAGAGCGGGGGGGGGGGGGGGGGCAAGCAGCATCCAAATCAATATTTACATATTAAAACTACAACAAAAGACTATTCTCAGAAAAGTGACCCTCCCTTTTCCGCTCTACGGGCTGCAAGTAACCATATGACACTGCATATATGTGCGCAGTATCCTACGGCAAGGGATCCAGCCTAAATCTCTTTGCAAATGCCGAATTTCCTTGGCAAAAGGCAACAGACAGGCGAAGTAAAAAAAAAAAAAGGTCAGTAATTATAATGTCATTTTGCAATCCATTATTGATTTTGATGTATGATTACGTTTGGGTACACCTGTTTATCCTTACAAATGGGAACTGCTTCAGTAATCTGCCTGTAGATAAGAAAACTATTGAAGGAAAATCGGAAGCAGGTCTACATCGTTTGACACATGCATACATTATTGATTATCTGTGATTATTTGTTGCTAATAATACATTCCTTTTAAAATCTTCTTGCCTCTGTCAGTAAAACACAGGTTTCATTTATGCTTATTTGTGAAATATGGAGATAACGAAGAGTATTCAATCTCAAAGTCCATTAAAACAATACAAATCAGGAGCAGAACAAACACGGACCTCCAAAACATCTGAGTTGGGATCCGGTGCCATGGAGGAGTAAGCATCCCCTGCCGACCGGTCACACCCACAGCGCGACCCCTATCATGATCGGGAAATAACGGAAAATTCGTCGACAATTCAGTTTGTAAATAATGGCCAAGCATTTAAAGTCAGTCAGCATGACTTAATGACAGATTGTATTTGCGTTTAAAGAAATTTAATCCACAATTTTTCGTGGTAAGGAAAATTACTTAACAAAATTGATCTTAGG